TGGGATGGAGGCTGAGCCTCTGTGAAATATATTATTCATTCAATCATTCTTTGAATACATTATTTTTTTGCAAATATTACCTTTACAGATCCATTAGAAACACACAAATAAATCTAGTCAGCATTTATTTCTAAGCTATTTCAGTTGGTGACAATGGCAACTTCTGTTACTTGAAAACTCCTTCAAAGACTGAGCTTATCCACATCAGGGTCAGTTATGGCAGTTATTATGAGGCCATTGATTTAAATGGGAATTACTAAAGTAAAAGGAATCTTCCAGAACAGAAAGAATAAATACAGACACAGGGCAATGTCCCTGCATATGACCATGTCCTGCTAAATTTATATCAAATCTAATAATCACAGCTGTACTGCAGCACCCGTTCTGCTGCAGCACATGTTCTTCACCACACAACCTGCGGGTCACGACCCCAAGTGGGGTAACTTGGAAATCAAATAGGGTCGGTTGAAATGTCGATTAATTGATTAAAAAACAAAGATAAAAATAGTTCCACTCATAATTATTATTTTTTACCTTTCATGAATAACATTTAAAATTTAAAATTAAAATAAAATGCAGCATATAACAATATCTGAGCTGGTGCATCTCGACTGATGTCTGTGGGGTCACCAGAAATATTCGATGTAGAAATGGGGTCACGAGCCGAAAACAGTTGGGAACCGCTGCCCTTGCAGTTTAAATAAAGACCATCCAAAACTAATATTAATTAGTTGGATTTTTATTATTTGAGTTGTAATTTCCCCACCGACCTTATAAATGCTGTGTGCAGGAGCAGCCCGCGGCTTCTTCCTGCCCTTAACCTCTATCTCTGCCTGTTCTCTCTTTGTGTTCAGCTCCTCTTTTGTTGGCTGATCAGCTTCCCAACGGGTCGCCAGACAAGATTCTTGGCATTTGTCGGCGAAATGAAAGGGAGATTAAGGGATAGTTACCGAACATTCAGTGGCAAAGAAGTGGGCTGCTATTATTGCTATTCAAAGGCTTCCTCGCA